TTTTATAAAATGTACAAATTTTGTTAGAATTAGACAAGTTTTTGTACAAAATTGGTTAGAATTAGACAAGTTTTTGTGCAAATTTTATGTATAATGTACATTCTTTTTTTCCCTATGAATTTCAAATAGGTTTTCATTATTTTTTTAAAAACGGAAATTGCGTGACTGACGTGTAATAAAACTTGCAACGACATAATTATATCGAACACTGTCGTCTTTATATCTATTAAATTCAAAATATTCAAAATAAATTTAAAATATATCCAAAAAATGCACCGTCAACCTCCCTGTAAATTTGTTGAGGTTTTCATGTTGTGAAAAACACAGGGGCACTTTCTAAACCGTCGTTTCTTCAAAAGGACGTTGTACACACATAACAACGTCACAATTTTTTAAAAAGAGACGTAAAAGGTTTTTCAAACAACGCTCTTGGTTCTATAGACGACGTTGTTTACTTGATATTAGACGGCGAGAAGTTAAGAGTTTAGGTCGTGGAATATGGTTTGTACGTCATTTTCTGTGTAAAAATGGCCATTGTTTTACCTTTAAACGAGGTTTGTTTTAAAATTAAGTCGTTTATTATGATTTACAACGTCTTTAATTTCTTAACGCCGACGTGGTTTGTGGGTTTTATTAATAATATTTTATTCTATTTAATTCGAAATATTCATAATAAATTTAAAATAAATCCAAAAAATGCAACGTCAACTCCTATGAAGTCATTGAGATATTTTCTTCCCCCTTAAGCTTTAAAAAATTAAGTTTGAGTTGTACAAATTTAAAATGACCACCAAAAAGAATAATTTTTTCATGAGTCACAACATCACTTATACTTTAATGGTTTAGGGTTTAGGGTTTAGGGTTTAGGGGGATAAAGGTTTATTTTTGGGGTTTAGGGTTTATGGTTAATATATATTAGGCCGTAAAACCATAAACCCTTTTCTAAAATTATTTAAACATATATATAATTTATGGTTTATATTTTATGGTTTAGGGTTTAGGGTATAGATGTAATAAGCGTCATGTTTATTTATATTTTTAACGACGGTTTTTTTGTTTTCCGTTGATGATTTACGAAGAGCGCGTTTCTAAACCGTCGTTTCTTTAAAATGACGTTGTACACACATAACAACGTCATAGTTTTTTTAAAAGCGACGTAAAAGGTTTTTCAAACGACGCTCTTGGTTCTATAGACGACGTTGTTTGCTTGATATTAGACGGCGAGAAGTTAAGAGTTTAGGTCGTGGAATATGGTTTGTACGTCGTTTTCTGTGTAAAAATGGCCATGGTTTTACCTTTAAACGACGTTTGTTTTAAAATTAAGTCGTTTATTATGATTTACAATGTCTTTAATTTCTTAACGCTGACGTGGTTTGTGGGTTTTATTAATAATATTTTATTCTATTTAATTCGAAATATTCATAATAAATTTAAAATAAATCCAAAAAATGCAACGTCAACTCCTATGAAGTCATTGAGATATTTTCTTCCCCCTTAAGCTTTAAAAAATTAAGTTTGAGTTATACAAATTTAAAATTACCACCAAAAAGAAAAA